CCCCCCCCCCCGTGATTAATCCTTCTACAGTTTTTATTATTATGGTAAGCAGCATTTAAAAACATTTTGATCATAGAATGCACTTCAGTAGCCCCTGTCAAACGGGCTGCAGAAACTGCTTACTCATACTTCCAGTTTTATTCGTCAGCCTTCACAACTGTTTCGGTTGTGTCATTATATGTTTTGCAGTTGACGCGATACATTCATATTGCACTACATCCCCTCGGATTTTCACATTTCAAACAAATTATCTGTTGAAACTAATTCATGGGTCGCGGTTACTATGCCCCATAAACGTGTTTTCACCACAGACTCGCCCGCATTTGGTTCGAGAGTATCAGTGCTTCCTATTGATACACAACGCAATCCTTCCGGGTGATGATTAATTTACTGCAATCACAGCGAGATTGGAAAGCTGGAGCCCCTTAAGCTGATTGAAGTACTCTAGTCGATTGTGATGTTTGTGTGACTTCTAGTATACGCCTTTCAAAAGCCTAACACTTCTGAAAAACTACAACTACCACCACCACCACTACTATTACTATTACCAATACTGCTACTACTACTACTACTTCTATTACAACTACTAATAATACTGGCATAACTCCACAAGGCATTGCTAGGACGAATAGAGGTATTTATAGCGAATAACGGTAAGGGAATCGGTAAATTGACATACATACAAGAATTGTCTCATTTGAAATAAGTATTCAGAATCCCCACAAGGACAATTACTGGAGTGGTCTGACAGTAGATTTGAGTTTGCTTCAGTTACGAAAAAGTAAATCCTTCAATCCACTCGTGAAGTCCTTGGGAATACAATAACTGCTTCTTGGTATGTGTAAACTACTCACAAATGTGAGTAGAATATCACACTACTATTACTATCATTATAATTCCAGAAGGCGGTGACCGGTCGAGGAAATTTGTTTGTTACGAATAACGGTCAGGGTAATGGTAAATCGTCATTCATACAACAAAATATCTCATTTGGAAGGAGTCTGCAGAATCCCCACTCACACAGCTTAGTTGTATTCACCAAATCGAACAGAAGCGATTCGCTTCAACAGGTCTTGTTCAATTTAGGCCATTGAAGGGAACCGCCGATAGCATTTTTTGCGAACTACTCGCAAATGAATCGTATCTCGAAAAATACTAATATTACTAACACTACTACGACTACAAGACTTTCAAACTAGATGCATTCTGATGGAGTTGATTGGTGTTATATTTTTCTGGTCGAACTCATTACCTATTAGCGCAACATTTTATAAATGCCAAACACCTCTCGTATTTTGTAACTTTTGCTTTACTGTGACAAATTTTCAAGTCTTTTCTACACAACAAAATTAAAAATGATAGTCCCCCCTGCGGGGTGGATTTCCAGTTGAATGTTTCATTCATGTAGGAATCTAAACAATCACCGGTTCTTGGACCGAAATCATTAACTGAACGAAGTTCATGTGAAACAATTTCAAAGGACAACATTCGATTGGATTTTAGCATTTCATAGATAAGTATCTGAAGGCAACGAAATCATTCGATGTAAAGCCACTTTTGGCCCTCAAGATCTATATTGGTCTCACACGTTGCTTCATTCATTATCTTTCTTTTGAGGGTAATCGGCTTACATTCACTGAAACGCTCTACAATTTCAATCCCGTTATCGCAACCAGTTATTGTTTAATACATTCCCCTTGTCGATCCACACAGGCTGCGACCTTTCCGAATTCGATCAACTGTGCCCACGCGAATCGCCAACCCTGATGGCATCCAGTTGGATGGACACAAAACTTGACACAATGCGAACTCGTAGTCGTCTGTGGGACAGTCCATTTGAAAAATCTATTCCGTGCATTCAATCGGCTCCAGATGATATTGATTTGGATAATTTCGATTTGGATGAGGAAAAGTTTTATCTAGAAGACGAGGAACAAAGTGATGAGGAAGATAGAAAAGGTAGGTTGGCTTTCTATTGTTGACTGAGGATTTTTCCCGTTGGATATGTTTCAGAAGATTAACTTCAAGTTTTATCCCATTGGTTTGACGTTTTTCTTGGGTCTTCCACTTAGTACATAGCAAAGTTATTATTGATTAATTTGAACTGACTATCCTCCGTACTTCACCTTCACGCACAATCCTCAGTTCATCGATTCAACCATACACTCGGAAGTACTAGACTCGAGTTTCGCTCTTATTAGAGCTCATCAGTAGTGCATATCCACCGTCTCGTCCGTGATTTTAACTCCAAACCCATCGCATGGAAGCGTGCGCGTTACCACGGTGCCTACCAACTCATACCATGGCTGAACCGAATTGCCAATTCATGTTTGTTCAGGTGTCGTCATCAGTGATAGTCAGTCAGTTCATTTGACCCGAAGGATAGTCAGTTCAAATCAATAATTCTCAGTTATCCCACACCACTGCTCACAGGTTACTGAGTTATCAATCCAGCCTTGTAGGTTCGTTGGCAAATCAGCCCTTAACCTTCACGGAAGTCCTGACTTAGTGGGAAGCTTTTGATTGGAGTTAACAGATTTTCATCTGTGTCTCTCTTCGTTGCTGTCGGACCAAGTGAACTGGCTGACTATCACTGATGACGACACCTGAACAAACATGAATTGGCAATTCGGTTCAGCCATGGTATGAGCTGGTTGGGACGGTGATAACACGCACATGCATTCCATGCGATGAGTTCAGAATTCAAATTCCGGATGGGACGCAGGATATGCACTACTGATCAGCTCTAATAAGAGTAAAACTCGAGTCCAATACTTCTGGGTGTATGGTTGACTGTAAGAGCCGAAGATTGTGCCTGCAGGTGAAGTCTGAAGGATATTCAGTTCAAATTAACCAATATTAATTATCCAATACCATTACTTACACGTAGCCGTGAGTTAAATGGAAAAGATTATAGTGAATTTTACGTGGTATTCATTGAAATTTTTCACAGATTATATCTTTCCAACTTCAAGTGAATCCACAAACGGTGTTTTACTGGTAACTTCACAATAGGCTTGGCTCTTCAACCATATCATCCATTGGACACGTGCAGCACATCGTCCGTCCGTTGGGAACGAACTGACTACCTCCTTAGACAATTAGAAGTATGTTGTGAGTGAGTTGGCGTGCGAGAATGAAGTTGTTAGCGGGGCGGATGTTTCATCATTCGTCCTCAGGTAACATTAGGTCCTTGATCGTTGATAGAATGAAGTTTCGTTATGTGAGAATGACCGAATCTGAAATTGACTGTCTCCCTTCTTACGGTTGGCCGGATAAGAAAATTTGTCACAACAAGATGGATTGATAAAACCGTTACCAGGCTCAGGCTGTGGTCATGGTTCATAGCGTGGCCGTGTTCAGTCACGGGTCCCGAGTGACATTGAGAGAGTGAAACTCTGCCAAGACTGAGTTGCCCTTGAAAGTTTGCCGTTCGTTTTAAGGAAAATAAGTATGCCTACATACGTTTGACATTAAAAGACAATTAAATCAACGGCAAAACGTTGACAATCAAGTACTGCGGCATGTATCTATGTGTAAAGGACACGAAAATCTTGGCGAGTAGTCGACAGCCATGGTGGAGCTTAACTGAGGACAGACCATTTGGAACTACTGCATTCGCGTTGTTCGTAGTCTTCATAGAAAACCAGATACACAATGAGCAAGCCATCTGTAGTGTATATATGAGGGCAGCACATCGTCAGAAGGATAAATTATTAATTATTTTTTCTACAAAAACAATACAGGTCTAATCGAAACTGAAGCAACGAGTCCCTGTGAAACACTTGTGGGTTCGTATAAGCAACAGCATTTATCCCATAGAAAAAGCTTTTCCAAATTATAATAAACAAGCCTTGGTGAGTCTTCATAGTCGTAATTTTTCTGATCCGTTTATACTCAACAGATGAAATGGTTCAACATGTAGCGGATACTCCCATTTCGTCTGTAGTGGTTGACCTAAACCATGATGAGTCAAGAGGTAACTAAGGGGAATAGAACAGTTTTATTTACAACAAATTAACATTGATAATAAGTAAGATGTAAAGTTTGTGTACGCTAATGGTCGATTGGTCGGCCTTTGTTCTTTAGGACTTTTTCTAGTCTATTCGGCATTGAATCCACAAACTCAGTTATGAAGTCATTTTCTATTTTATGCTCCATTACGTATCGCACTTTTGCCTCCAATGTCCAATGTACAGGTAGCACAATGACCGCTCTCTTCAAAACAGAAAACAGACTTTCAATCACATTCGGGCTATTGGGGAGAAGTTGCATGAAGTGGACCTTGGAGGCATGCATCTTTTCTGAAGTCTAAAAGCCAATAATAAGTGAACCAGACTCCATTGCCGTAAAGACTTTGCTTGTGTTCCCAGCAGTTAGTTATGTTATGAATGAAGCATTTCCCATCCGTTCATTTCCTCTTTGATGTGCAAGGAGCGTCGTTGGACAGCGGTTGTTTCCTGTGACACGGAGCGTTATCCTGAAAAACGATAATTTTTCAGGCGATTTTTTTTTAATCAAATTCTAGTTTTCTTGTTGAGATGATTTAATCTTGGTACGCAAGGCCAAGAACGTTTAATTGACACTCATGCAGCCTAGAAACTACTTAGATCGAAGTATACAAGATATAAAATATTATCCATACTTAAAGCATCAATACAGGTGATAAATATTATGATACTCCATTTAATCATAAAGAAAATATATTAGTGCATCACAATCAGGCAGTGCTGTATATATACATATATATATATATATATATATATATATCCCTAGCTGTGAGCGCTGATCCGCACTACTGACCACTAGATTCTCTGTCTTTGGCCCAAAGTTCACTCTCGGTCGGCATTCTCTCCTGTTATTAAGACGGTGATGAGGGAACTTATAAATCTCTCAGTTGACGGAACCATTCTCCTAAAGATATCTCTTGCGATTACCTCGTCTTGATTTCATTTTACCAATTTCTCTCTGTTGTTGATCGATTTACGGTTATTGTGGATGCAATTTTCAATTTTTGCTGTCCTATGAAAATACTTCGCTCATATTGAAAGAGTGTGTCTGGCGCTGTTAAAATCTCTAAGAATACAGATGCCTGCAAGCCACAGGAAACAACCGCTGTCCAACGACGCTCCTTGCACATCAAAGAGGAAATGAACGGATGGGAAATGCTTCATTCATAACATAACTAACTGCTGGGAACACAAGCAAAGTCTTTACGGCAATGGAGTCTGGTTCACTTATTATTGGCTTTTAGACTTCAGAAAAGATGCATGCCTCCAAGGTCCACTTCATGCAACTTCTCCCCAATAGCCCGAATGTGATTGAAAGTCTGTTTTCTGTTTTGAAGAGAGCGGTCATTGTGCTACCTGTACATTGGACATTGGAGGCAAAAGTGCGATACGTAATGGAGCATAAAATAGAAAATGACTTCATAACTGAGTTTGTGGATTCAATGCCGAATAGACTAGAAAAAGTCCTAAAGAACAAAGGCCGACCAATCGACCATTAGCGTACACAAACTTTACATCTTACTTATTATCAATGTTAATTTGTTGTAAATAAAACTGTTCTATTCCCCTTAGTTACCTCTTGACTCATCATGGTTTAGGTCAACCACTACAGACGAAATGGGAGTATCCGCTACATGTTGAACCATTTCATCTGTTGAGTATAAACGGATCAGAAAAATTACGACTATGAAGACTCACCAAGGCTTGTTTATTATAATTTGGAAAAGCTTTTTCTATGGGATAAATGCTGTTGCTTATACGAACCCACAAGTGTTTCACAGGGACTCGTTGCTTCAGTTTCGATTAGATCTGTATATATGTATATTAACATTGTTCAATGCAGCAGTAGTTCCTCTATTGGGAGCAAGAGGTTGATTCATCATTCACGTTACAAACAACTGAAAGGAATCGATTCATAATAAAACCGTAAGATGTTCAGTTTTGAGGAAACGAATGCTATGCAAGAAATGGTAGTGGTTCTTCGAGAATGAGAAAACCTGGGTCGACATGAAACACTAAAGCAGTCTATTCGATGAGAGGAAGAGAGAAAACAGAGTTTTGGACTTGCTGCACCACGCGGAGTTAATATAGTTTGTTAGCTCACTCCCGGTCCTCCTCCAGCTCATTTCTCTGTCTTGCCGAAAAATTTTGAAACCAGATATTTGTAACGGAAAATCTTCATTATATTGCTTCAATCACGTTTCCTGCAAATGGGGTTTTGTGCGCACAACAAGTTAGTATAGACCTGTGAGGTCGGCCATTTCATTAAACAAAGAGTGAATTTCTGAGCTGGCCAATGAGAATGCAATCAGCCTTACAGGTGTGGCAGGGTTAGTANGGTGTGCCCAAGTTGTAAAGAAATCACGAAGTAAATTCTAATGTAGCGACAAACTCCAAACGTGAGGCAGCCAGTCGAAAGAAGCTCACTTGTCTGCTAGATACAAATGATCAAATTTTAGCTTGTTCTCCGTACTATTTTCACTTTTGGGGGGACTGTTGGAATACAAAGGTCAAGCCAGAGACTTCAATATTGCAAATGTAGGTGAAAGTAAAATTCATGAAAAGGAAGATCCCCTTGTTCGTCACATTCAAGAATATGAGATAAAATGTTTGTCGACCCAGAATGACCTTCTCACCTTGTGATATCTAAACCTTCTCGGGCGTAAATTCCCATTGAAATTTGACTTAAACAGCTGCATAATGGTTACAAGGTTTCTGGTGATGATGTGTTTGTGTAATTGCATTATGTAAGACGAATATGTACATCATTTAGTGTGGGTAGTTAAGCTATCATTTGAATGTTTCAATGTCTAAATTAAAGGGTATGTTCACGTTTCATGCAAATTTCTTACATTTTTCATGATCCTCTCGTTAAATAGACAGAAGAAAAGATCTACCCAGTAGTCAACATGATTAATCATTCACTTATGACAACCGGCAACCTAAGCCATGGAACTTGGAGTGACGAACCACATAGCGCTTCACTTGGCTAGGTTTGGCATCCCACAGCGCTTATTGATTAGAAGGGTTACTTATTTAATTCACTAGTAGCCTGTTTCACTGCCATGTCTTTCGATTCTGTCGTTCATCGCTTTTTTATTCGTTCCATCTTTCCTGAATACATAATCACAGAATCTTGTTCGCGAAAAACAAAGCACAGTTTCGAGAACCTCGTCACTGCTCTGTTATCCTTTCGGCGTTCTTCATTTACACGAGATGGCAGGACTGAAAACAATGCAAAACGAGCGCAAGAGTCAGAATCACAGTTGAAACAGGAAAGCCACCAATCGGAGCGGTACACCTCGAATTCGATTCCTACTGAGACAGAATTGCGTCACGATACAGTAGGTATTGCTCAATATCTGCACGCTTGCGAGCAGTCCGGGGAACCCCCGATTCCGGCCATCATTCGACAATTGCCAAAAGATACCATTGATCTCAGTCACCGAGGTTTGGGGCCTCAAGAGGTTAAACTATTTTCCACCGGACTCCAGGTAAGCAAACAAAATGAAGTGCTCACTCTGTAAGACAAAAGCTGAATGATTACCCTGTGAGTTAATCAAGAGTTTTGGTTGATGATATTCACTGTTTTGAGTTATGTTCCAGTTTCAGTTTTTACAACCATTAAACATGTAATTTGGTGCACCGCCTTTGGTTACTCTATTTAAGCTGCTAATTCGGATAAAATCGCAGAAGGAAAATGAGAGTGTTGAGTGTAGAGTCAAAGAGAAGATAGAGAATCCATATAAGCTAAGATTATAAGGATTGTGAGCAGAGGCACGGGTGCCAATTTTTGAGACACTCAGCTATTGATAAAATTTTGAAAATTGGTTCTCGTCGCTCGGGTGAACTGAATTCCATTTCGACGGTTCGCAGAGCTTGAAAATTTGTTTGGAAACAAATTACCGTGCTCGGCAAACAGACGAAATGGAACACTCAGCTAAATCACGCAGGGTCTCTAGTCACCGGTTATGATAATCCCTCGGTCCCCATCCATGGAACTGAGCCCGATCTATGTAACCAATTCTCCTGATTATGGTTTTCATACCCTCGTATCAGGTCGTGCTTTGAAGTTTTTCCATCTTCAACCTGCCTCGGAAATCATCACTCTCCGTGGCAACGTATTTCGGCATAAGCGCAACAAATGATCCAAACAACATAATCTATGGAGGTCGATCACTTGTCCCAGTGGGCGCCTGCATCTAACCTCAGCATTGCTTGTCCGGTTGCCTCACCGAACTCGTGCAATGCGGTGTAGGCAGCGGTGCGTGAACACCGACAGATGAATCGATAGACTAGCGGAATGGTTTTGTCATTTTTCTTCACCTAAAGATCTTCAAACAGAATTACTATACTTGTCTAAGATCGGTGTCAGAGGGAGCATATTTCGCTAAAACTCTGTTTTGATTGAAAAAATACCTATTATTATCGTCCGAACAAGCATAAAATGATGATCAACACGTTCTGATTGCCAAGGCAAGAAGAAGCCCGGATACTTTTTCCATCATTATGTACTATTGAGAGAGTGAAACAATGATTTGTGGCAAAAATGTACAGAATGATTGGCCCCATTTTTCTGTCCGTCTGTCATATAGACATAATGGAGTTCATTGCGACTTAACTATGAAAATGTCTGATGAAAAGGGATATGGCGAGTGCTGTTGGTATCACGGTAACCACGGAAGGTCTAACAAGCCATTGTATTTTTGGCTGCAGTTAAGGGATTGTAATAGTATTGACAAATACCATTGAGTGGAGTTTAAACTAAATGAATTACAATGAAGCTATTTCGTGACTAACTAAATAGAGTGTAAACGAACGAGAGAGGGAATTGAAAGTGGGTTCTTCGAACAATTTATTCGTAGTGAAATAAGAATATCAAACGTGTTTGTAATGTGCACCTAGTGAGAGGTAGCTAATCCTATCTGATCATAAATAGTGTATCGACCTCTGACTAACATCTCTTTTTATTTTTACTTTTGGATGTAAGGTGTTTCAGAACAATTTTGGTTCACTCCAAAATATCAAACCATTCATTTGTTTTCTACCGCGCTGAATATGTTCTCAATGACTGACGGTGGTTTCCTTATACTAACGTTTATCCATCTCTTGCTATCCCTACATACAAATCACTATGTTAATACACATACCACTAAGTTAGTCGAATCATCGAGATAACCACTTGGGGGGTAACAAGTTCGAATCTTGCCTCCACCGCCCATCAACCCATTATCTGTATTTCCTCAGGCAGCCTTGGCACGGCCGTGACACCCCACCCCCCCGATCCTGAAAGATTATCGTACATTTTGTTAAACGGTAAACAAAAAAGGCAGTGAAAACAATTGTTTAAAAGATAGAGTCATTCGCGTGAAATCAATGTGGATGCAATTGCGACTTACTACAAAGGTGGGGTGATCCGTAAAACAGTAAGGTATCATTTGCTCGTGCGTCCTGTGAAAAGACCCATGTAACCCTTCAGCGATTAGATCTATCGATAACCACTCCAGATCCGAGTACAGTATGATATTTGACAATTTGATGTATAAAACATCTATCGAAGTCGGGGTTTGTACCAACTAACCGCGTACGAATTCCGATGCAGTAAAGGCCGGATAGAAAACGCTTAGAAACAGTATACAATCATGACAATGTAGTAATATGAGGAGCTCGAGGAACATTCCGAACTTGCGGTGGAAGCCTGGAACACATTCAGTCTTCCATCAGGTTTTATATAGCCTACTTTTATACATGAAATTTTCACTCAAAACCTAAAGTGTAGAATCTGATACGTACCTTACGAATTTCGGAAGAATAGAATCAATATTGATAATGTACCAACTAAAAACCAGTGACAAACGGTAGGGCGGGGCTACTTAACCGAAGACGCCATTTTGAGAGGACAAGGTTGGATTCGGATTCGTCCGTGAGTAGGTTGCAATAATCTGTTTACTGTGTGGATTTGTACTATTCGACTAATGGACGTGGATCATGACTTAATATTCTAGCTTGCTGTTCAGTATTCGCACGAATCTGCGTTCCGTCATTTAGTTAAGCGACACAAATGATACAATTTCTGTTGACTCTCCTTATTCCAGTGTTTTCGTCCACGTAAGACATCTGACTGAAATGCACCACAAGCGCAGACCTGAAGAAATCTGATGCGATGGACTGGTTGAACTGCGAATCACCAGCGTTGTGCAAGGAAGAACAGTCTGTCTTAATTGCAGTTTTCGTGAATAATATGACCCATGCCAGTATCATCACATTAAATGCTTAAATAAAGCAAAAACGCTTACGAGAATAGCGTTGATGATAAGCTCATCGATTGTTGATCGACCGTTTTAATTCCGTTGTCTGTCTGTTTTTTCAATGGCATTATGAAAAATTGGGTGAAAATGGAATGGCACAAATTCAAATCCCAGCTAAATAACAGTGGCCAGAGCAAGCTCATCAGATTCAGCAATCAAAGCATTTGTTTACAGTTTTGCACGCAACCCGATAAAGTTTTCTGTCCGTGCATGTAAAAAATATGATGTATCACGAGATAGCGAAAGAGGGCAATTCGTCCGCATCGGAACCGATGATTTGAACATTCTGGGTTCTGTTGCTTTCTTGACTCTCGGTTAGATCGCACCAAGGAAAGTGCTCAGAATATTCGTTACAATGAACGATTTACCGAGTGAAAGTCAGAATTTCTAAGGTTTTTTCATTGCCACGGGTGTTTTGAGGTTGTGATAGACTTTTTATAGATCAGAACAGTGAATGTAATATGGAAGATTTTATCTATTGCTTGAACGCATATTGTGAGCGAGAAGTCGCACAATGAACTCTTTCCCTCACACACATCGGTCGAAGAAAGAGAACAATTCAAATGAGCTTGTGTTTGATTAGGCTGAAAGGCTATCACTACACTCAACTTGTTACTTTATAGGTTTTTTGAACACGGATATGGAAGATATTGCAAATGAACTCAATAGCTTAAGAAGTAGTGTTTTTCATCAATCAGAAATGGAATTATTGAGGTGATTTATTTCATTAGTTTCGAGTGGAAAATTTGAAATTTCTCTCAAAATATCTCTAAACACAGGAAAAACGTAAGAAAAACGAACTTTTTCAGACCAACTGGCTTTCCCCACAACAGAATGCTGATACAAAGTTGCCACATTGTAATACAATCACAAATAAGACGAACTACTGCAGAAGTAAATAGTTGAATTCAGAGTAAAAATAATGAAATAGTAGGATTATTTAGCGGGTCTTTTGGAGGGACTCTTGCCAGACTAAATATTGCGGCCGAAATTTCTAGATGTGAGTTTGATAACTGGTAAGTTCAAAACAAATTTAATTGAAATGAAAGTAAATTTGGTTTTATGATGTATGAGAAATGATAACTAAAAATCGTTGTGTAAGTCGTTTCTCCAAGTTAACCAGAGCCAACGGATATCCCATACCATATTTAACAGTCCCTGACCAAATTAGACAAGGGTTATAGCTTGACCAGCGCAATAGATGGTGCTCCCACTGTCACCGAGTTTGTGAATGTGAATCTCATTGCTCTACTTTCTTTATTTGTTGTTGTCCTCCTCTTCTTGAATACCAGGTTTTTCTCTATTGTTTATCAAATAAATGTAAACAAAACTCTAATAATCTGATTACTATCGTTACTCTGTTTGATGCAAATAGACCGGTTACCCAGAGAGTTAACCAAATGAAAGCACACCATATATGCGCCTAATCAGATGCGATAGTCAACTCTCTGCAATGTTTTCCTTTGATAGTGATAACGCACCGATGTGAAATCATGCAAGTGATAGTGTTAGCAGTTTTTATTCTTAAAGCTGTATTCTCATGTGCTAACAAAGTCATTTTGTGAAAAAGTTTAAATTATGATCCATGAATTTATGAGAAAAAAATGAAGCACCGGAAAGGTTAAGTGATGGAAATGGTTTGTCATTCAGAGACCGAAAAGGTGAATCTCGAAGTTGCTGAATGTACTCTCGTGTACTCATTTGTAGATATTTTTCACACAGCCTTAAGGGAACGGGATTAGCAAAACTTGGTTTAAATTTTGATTATGTAGAATGAATTCATCGTGTATAGAGCAAATGAAGCCTGAACTGAAAAAGTCGGAAGCACTGTAAAAAATGTTTCGATCTCGTTGGGTCTCATGATCAGAGCGAATCCATCGACCCAGCTGGGATCAAATCCAGGACCGCACAGGCGGAACATAAGCATGCTACCCATTCGACCACCAGGAAGGTGAACAGACCATTTTCATTTTCCATTTACATGATAGCACAATCCATCTTTATGAGCTTGTCGCGGGAATCGCGCCTCGTTCATCTCAGCACTAGCCTTCAGGGTTATGACTCGGTCGGAAACTTTCACTTTTAGTTCCCGTCTCGTTCGCTCTATAAACGACGAATTCCTTAGATGAAACTGAACCAACACCTCCATTACTCGCATTGAAATTTGAATAAATTGGTCACTTTATGACTGGGACGTATTCTCAGCGGTTTATCTTACCCCTAATCGTAAGCATTACCTCTACCAAGAAACAAAAATAAATGAATAACAATCTTTGTCAATATTCACCAAGTAAATAGTCTATTATTTCGAGCTGTGGTTCGTCTCTGCTCTGCGGTGGTGGCCCGGTGGTAACGTCACCAAATTACCACCACGGAGATGTGTTCAAATCCCATCACCACCGTCTGACTTTCGCCAGTATGTGTGTGCTGAATGGCAGCCCTTTGATTCGCCGCTTCCCCCCTCCGGAAAATTGTATCTTTGTATATTCAATAAAAGGAAGTAAACATGAAAACGAAAGAAAAAAGAACACCATCACCAATCCTCTGAAACCTAGGACCTGCATAATAAAAATGATAATTCATTGCTTGCTTCTTGACCAATCCTTTGACTTTCAAATTTCACTTCTACTCATCTGCCATTAAACATAGCTACTAATCCTTGAGAGAATCAGAAATAATTTAGGTTGGTCAAAAGTCTGACTGTAAAAGCACACTTCTGCTGATTGTTCCTAGTTGATATTATTTCAGATGAAGAGCAGTTATGCCCTCTAGTCCCATAGGCTATTGAGGCTCCATATGGCGNGATAACCTCTAATGTTGAAACAATGTCCTGGTCAAACAATACCATGAAGCAGACAAGCAATCTGTATTGCGTACAAATAACTTCAGTCTATCCGCCTCCAACGGCTTGAGCATAAAAAATCGGTCAGCTTTCAGGAAGCGGGCCGCGGCTATAGACAGTGTATCTGGGGAAATACAGAATCGGAGAAGATGAGCGGCAGTGGCACCGTTCGAACTCACGATTTCCGAGTTGCCGAGTCGTGACTTGCCCACTGCCCACTACACATGCTTTCCCATAGCCTTTCTTACTGACCAATGTTTGCAATATAGGGCACGGTAATCGATGCGTCATATGGCGTCGGGACACGAGGACGGTAACAGCAATGGTTGGATGGTCTCAGTTAGTTATTTTGCACTCCCTAAATGGTATCTGAGCATTCATTCTTCAAGGTTCCTGACATAGACCAGTGGTATGGACGCTGTTGACGTGTGTTCCTGTGAATGCTAAAAGCCAGCGAATAATACAAAAGTCAAATTATATTAAAAGTATACAAGGTTCAGAACTATATTACCCCCATCGCCCCAAACTTTATCATTTTATTATGTTACTTATGTCTTCACCTATTATCATATTTAATTTTTATTTTAGGCAGTTTTGAAATCATGAATGTTTCAAGTTTGTGGATAAACATGCATACACTCTTGACAATAGGTAACAGTATCGAGATCCAGCTATTGTATCCCTATACAATCAGATTGTGCGTGGATTTGATCTTTTTTCGGGTATAACCCTATTGTTAAAAATATCGAGATCTTCAGTGGGGTTTGAATCTGGTTAATGAAAGACATCTTATTAGTTTAGGTCATCACTGCTGCCGTACAACAAGATGATATTACTCAGAGGAATGATTGTATTTGTTCACAAATTGTAGCAATAACCACTCCCATTTACAAAATGTGTCGCCAAGAAAAACGTTTTGTCCGTGCTGTTTAATCGTGTGTACAGGCTTCTTTCAGAATTTCAAATCATGTGTGAATTTCGTTTGTGTATCGTTTATGCATGATTGATTGCAACTGTTAATTCTTTGGTTCCTATCCCCTTTTCAATCAGCGAAATATAACTGTGACTCAACTGAATTTGTCTAGCAATCAATTGGGTGTGGATGGAGCTAAAGCTTTGGCATTTGCTCTGAAGGAGAATGCATTTTTGAAAACTTTGGTAAGTTTTTTTTACACTGGTGCTTTAAAACGTACTCTGACACGATTCCTTTATTTTTACAACCAGAAAGTACAAATATCAGATATCTGAGTACAAATGACCTCTAAAGATGGGTAATTTAGGCGAGATGAAATACCACTGTCCAGTAATTTCAAGTTTCCACCTGCAAAACCAAAAAATTCTGGAATATTCTATAGACTTATAATTTGCAATCAGAAAGATCGTCTAATGCATTCAGTTTATCATCTCACTTCCTACAGTCATCAATTATACTATTATTCCAGAAATAATGAGAAAATCGATATTTGAAGTCAGTTGAAAACGAAATTAAAATGTTGATTTTACAAGTCTAATCCAATCAAATTAGTACCGTAACATTTGGGACTTTGTTATTTGTCCCCGAAATGACATCGATTGCGTTCTTGTATGCAGGAGAGAACTCAATTGAAGAAGAACAAAATCCAAATAAATTTAAAACGAGTGAAATTATCCGGATTGTTTGATGAGGTCAAATTTCAGCCAAATAACCGTACTGAGGATGACAATTCGGTTGCATAATCGAAAAAACTTCTCAACTTGGACTTCGTGATTCTTCCTTATAAATGTAATCAATACGGAATAAATACTATTAGAACCCATTTCGTCGTAGACTCACCACACACAGTCTCCGAGACAGTGTCCAGTTTGTAGGCAAAATAAAAGACCTGGACCTGTGAGAAGAGACGATTTTTCCTTAGATGTGGCCTCACTGTTCACTAGTGTACCCCTGATGGAGAAGGTGGAATTCATTTGTGATCAAATAAAAGCACTGGATGTGGACGTTGGTATTCTNCACCAATCTAAAGGAACTGCTGTTACGCTGCACACGTAACGTCCAGTTTCTATTTAACGGTACTATCTATCGATGAGAACATTCGGCTCACTCCGGAGAAGGAAAAAGCAATCTGTGTCCCCAAGAACGAACTATTCATAAGCATCCCATTTAGGGGGGACTCATACACTGTGAGCCTAGTGCAATCACTGAAAGCGGCTGTAAATTCCATCTTCCCCGCAGCAAAACTTAGACCAGTATTCTCTACATCGCCCGTGATGCAAATGCAAGTGAAAGACAAACTGCCGAAACTGACCTCATCCATGATAATCTACTCTTTTAAGTGCATC